CTCTATATTTTTTAAAGGCCTTTGACAAACTTCAATAGAATTTTAAAAAATAATTATATGTAAACTTACAGTTAAAGTATTTTTATTATTGTGTTTTTTTTTTTTTTTTTTTTTTTTTTTGTGGATGTTAGACATTTTATGACCTAAAATATGTTATGTTTGAATCTGTGTATGCTTATATTTTCATATATGTATCTTTATTTATTTCGTCATTTAATAAATTTTTCATTGCAAATTTCAATATTAACACTGCAATTAAGAAATTGGTAGATAGCTACAAAGAAGTAAAAAAAATACTTGACGAATAGACTAAATTCAATAAAAGCATAAACAAAAATGCTAGATTGGCTATGTCAGTGTGCAAAAGATAAACAAAGTTCATCAGAAGAAAATGCCCTCTGAATAGCCTTTGAATTGATTTTACATCGGACCTTTGTTTTAATGCCAGGAATTTATTGTTTAAAACTGCCTTGCATGGCTGTAATTTATTTTGGTTTGTACTTATTGATATCAATACACATGTGTGCCTATATACATACATACATACATACATACAATTATTTCTTATGTTTTTGTGTATTAATTTTAAATATTTTATTTTAAAAAGTATAAACATAAATATAAAATAAAACAATAACAAAAAAATGAATAAATAAACTTAATCATTCAAAGATATGTGGTTGACATTTGTAAATTTCAATATAATTATAAAAAAAAATGATGTTAAATGTATTTAGACTTCAATCAGCTAGATGATTTTATTTAGATTTCATTCTATAAAAAAATAGAAAAATAAAAAATAAAAATAAAAAATGTTTAAAGATGCATTAGGTTCAAATAAAAAAAAATGAAAATGAAAATGAAAACTTAAAACTTAAAAGTGCATTGATGTTTTAGTGGATTAGAAAAGAAAAAGAAAAAAGAAAAAGAAGATAAAAACTATTTAATATTCCTTTGGCTATCCATAATGTGATATTCATTTAAGATACTTTTAATAATAATCCACCTAAATTTCATAATTTGTGTATGTTCCACAATTTCTATCTATCCATAGATACATAATTAGATAGATGTATTTAATTGATTATTTATTTATATTAACTTGAAAGGAACCAATAATAAATAGTAACACTTGCATAGTTGTTGAAGTCTCAAGTCAACATGTTTATCATGAAATTTTCAACCATAGAACACATGTTTATATGCTCTAAGCAGAAGACATAAATCTCAAAATACAATTGTTTATTTTGGAATGAAAAGATTTAAAGTAAAATATTTATATTTATAAACTTGAATATTATAATTTTAAATTAACGAGAATTTAAACCTATTCAAATTCAAGAGGGACCTTTAAATTATATTGATATTGATATTTATGTGTATGTATGTATTCATTTTATCTTTCTTTTAAAAAATTGCAATCTCTGAAATGCATAAATTCTTTATTATTATGAAACCATTTCCCATAATTATTTGAATGTTTTCATCATAAACAACTGAAATAAATATTATTGATTTCAACTAATAAAGGACAGAACATAAATGCAGGACATTAGTTAAGGATAAATTAAGTCAAATAAATATACAAAGTGAGGTGCAGTTAAAGTAAGACTAGTATAATTTCCATTGATATATATAAAGATATATATATATATATATATATATATATTCTTGCATCAAAAATCAAATGTTTTTTTTGTTATCAAACAATGATCTTCATTGCCTATCAATTTAATGGAAATACACCAATCTTAAAATGTAGGGTGTCACAAATAAATTAATAAAGTTGTTGACAATTGTTTAGATTTTGAGTATACAAACAGTCAAACTTAAATTTAATCAATATGATCATTTTGAAACGATCTACTTAAAGATACTGAATAGAACCCTGCTTGAATATCATAATACTCACGTGAATAAATTATAACAATTTTTTTAAAAGTACACAAGTATATATGATGATCACATGTAACAGTATATTGTTGTTTTCAATGCAAGTTCAACAACTATCGTACTAATTTTAGCACGTGTATTTATTCTCAATTTTTAAAATTTTATTTAATTATATATATGTATATAACCCACCTAAGTCTTAAATCAACTCACCTTGCTTACATCATTCAATCTCTAGGACTACTTCTGTAATTTGGGAATTATAAAATCCACAAACTTATTCATTTAATCCTGCCTTGAACTCTAGTTGATTTGAAGGTGTAGCAACCATGTTTTATGGCACAAGAATATTGGGTGAGGATGTGCCCATGTAACGTGTGTGTCAAAACTGGGGTACCCAAGAGTGCAATAATATCAAAGTTAGCACAAAGTGATGTAAGCGAGGCCCTAAATTCCTTCCCCCCAAGGAGAATCTTAGGTTAATCTTTGTTATTGTCCATTAAGTTCATAGGTTTTTCAATTTTCAAACTGGAGAAGTAATTGCAAAGATTGAACAATTAAAATAAGGTGGATTGATTTGCTATTTAGGTAGGCTGATTTAATATTCCCCCTGCATGTATCCTATTTAAAAACATATGGTGTTACTTTTATTAATTAAAAATTATTCATTTTAATAAAAATAAAAAATAAAAAATTTATAATTTAAATTTCATTCAATTTTGTATCTTAAGTATAACTCTTCAAATAATTATCATATGCCACAAACATGAAATATAAACTTTATGTAGATGTGATGTGTAAATTATTAACTATATTTCTGTATGTCACTTTTGGAAAAAATGAATAATTGTTTATTACTTCAAAGTATGCCTCTCTACAATGCAAGTCAGTTGCCCTAAAATTAAAAACTGGATTCACACTATTCCAAACTCACGAGAAAAAACTATCACTTTTTGATATAATTGTTTTGATTGTCATTCTTACAATATTCATGCCAAGGTTATAATGTCACTCCAAAGAAATTTCTTTCAAACCAAATATCAACATGTGACAACATTCAATAATTTTCACTATATAATAAGTTCTTGGTTGTTTCATTTTTAAAATTTGAGATTTTTAGTTTCTAAAGACTTAAGAATAAATAAATATATATGGATATATATATATATATATATATATATATACATATATTTATCATTTTTAAATACAAGTTGTTCTTTAAATTCTTCTGGAATATTCAAAAAATAATTTAAACTTATTGAAAATTTCAAGTAGAATGTTTAGACTAGAAGTTTTGTTATTTTTTTTTTTATTGAAAAAGTTAAGATAATAGTTTAGTTGAAAGTTTTAATAGCTTTATGTTGTGTGTTATTTATATGTTCTGAAATATTGATAAAAAGTGAAATTTACACTTTTTTTCATACTCCATTTTTAATTTTTCGTCCAATTGCACAGCAAGATTTTTACATTCAACAACTTTCGAGGTCCAAAACGTACCAACTCACTTCAAAGCATGACACATCTGCTCTTTTGCATGATTTATGTATTATTTTGTCTTGAAGCACACAGTAATAGCACACCAATAGGAACTAAACCCTCAAATCGGGAAATGGATGAATAAATGGACGAATGAACAGACGTCACTAGTCTCATCCACGGATGAAAATGTGGGTGATGTCGCAGAAGAGGGATGAAGCGCTGCAGAAGCGACGAAGCCATTTCGGTGTGCCGGGCTGCGTGTTGAAGAGGAAGAGGGAATTCAAACTAGTTCAGATTGTATGTGTGAGAGTGTGTGAGTGAGTGTGTGTGAGTGAGTGAGCGTGAGCGTGTGTGAGAGTGAAATAGATAGAGGATTAGAATTGCAGAGGAGGAGGGGGGATGAGAAAGAAGCGAAAAGGTTGTCGTCGAGTTTCTAATTACAAAGGAGAGGGTCCGATGTTTGGAGGACCCCATGGGCTTCATGCAGAAGCCAACGCGGCACGGCCCTCTCTCGTTTACTGCCTCTGGTTCTGCCTCAGCCCTACGATTCTGCAGCGAATTGTGGCGCTACTTACTTCTCTCTTTCAAGATCTGCATTCTACTCTTTCATTCCCACCACCGACTTCGATTTGTTTCCATCGTTATCTTTCCCTATCTAACCACAGTATCTTCTTTCCTTCTTCATTTCTTGATACATATTTATATATATATATATATATATATACACATTGGTATTCACATGAATACATATGTCATGCTATTTTCTTTTCTTTTCTTCTGGTGTTCATCCGGTCTACGAGGGTTCGGTGTACTCCGGTGACTTCCTGTGAATTAAGTAATAGTTTCGAAAGGTTATTCCCGAAGTTTCGTGGCATTCGGTGATTTTTGAATAATAAAAGTAAGACGTCAATCTTACTTTTCTATCCTTAAAATGATTACGTCGGGTTGGAAAATTGGCACCTACTGCTGAACAGCCTATGCTAGCTACAAGGCTAGATCAGTAGGCTGACGGATGCATCATCTTTACTTACCGATGGAGCACTGAAAGTGAGCAGCATAATGTGCAGATGCCTTGTTCTTTCGCGAGTGAAAGATTGGAGAATCGAGAAGATTGTTGCGTTTTTCCAATCTGCTCCTTCATTTTGATTCCCGTATTGTTTCTTTAAAGTATACTCCGACATGGATTCTGAGAACACGTTTTCTGCAGAAACAACTACCTCGTGTAGGATATTCATATGAAGTAAAAGAGCCACTTCGAAAAATGAAAATAGAAAACTACGCTTACGAGATTAATTAATTTTTGAGTATTTATTTAATGAAGTTATTTATTTTAACAGCTGATTGGGAAAATTCAAGGAAAGTGTAGAAGGAATCTATACAATATGCTAAGCAGACTTGCTCAGCCTGCTGTTCTAGGATTTGCTCTCGAGGGTGTTTCAACGCACGGTAGTTAAAATGTTGAGAATAACTTGAATTTAATTTAATTTTTTTGGATTGTAAGAAGGTTTGTATGGATTTTATTTTATTTAACGTCATCTCCTTTTCATCACTATTACTTTTATATACATGATTATTTATTTTTGGTGGATTCTTGATTGGTTTAGCAGTCTTGAGAGAGAGCGAGAGAGAAGTATACGCCACCGATTCACGAGGCCCCCCTTTAGCGCCTGGTCTCGCCCCCATCCCCGTTCCCTCCCGTCTCTCGTCGCACCTTCCCCATCGCCACTTCTGTACTCTAACCCTCTCGGTATCAAGCTACAAAGCGATTGCATCTCGCGTACATGCCCAGGGCTTCTTCACCGACCTCGTCTATCAATTCCGCAGCCACGGTAATTACTCCACCATTTCCTTTCGTTTCGGTTCTCGCCTCCCTTGGTCTTTATCCGTTCGCAACTTTGTTGTGGGATCGGGTATGTGGGAGTACGTGACAGACAAGCCCTTGAGCTCTCAGTGCTGGGCGCGAGATGCCGATAATGTATCGTTTTATCCTTGATGGTGGAGGTGGGGTGGCGATGAAATTAGGTTGTGGATGATGCGGATGGTTGTGCATCGCAGCGGTTGGTGTGTACGAGCAGGTGCGGTTTTGATGGAGGGTGGTGGATATACGCCTTGGAGGGATGGGTTGAGGGATATGTAGGCATGGAGTGGTAACGGGAGGAGGTCGTAGTGTGATTTGCGAGGCGATGGGAGGTGCTCTTATTTTGGTGGCGTTGAAAACGTGCATCATGTCGGAATGTAGGGGCTTCAATCGAGGGCGGTTCGCTGCGAGATTGAAATTTTGGCTGACAGAAAGCCATCAGTTGTGATCGCTTGTGTGTTTCTGGTAGAGAATTCTCGTGGTTGATTTTGCGTGGCTGTCCGGTGAGGTCAGCGTGTGGTGTGACCTGGAAGTTCGTTCTGGGAATATGAATGATAGGCGTGAACACGCTGTTGCGACGGAATGGAGTTTGTCAATTGCGTGCTGTGAGCGGGATGATTGGGAGTTGTCTTGCTTGCACATCCTTGTGTTAGTTGGGAAGTCGGATTATATCTGGATGTAGGTTGAGTTGGTGTTTTTGCAATTTTCGACACTCGTTTTTTCTGTTTCCTCGTCCGTCGTTCGCACGCGTGTTGACTTTCTCACGATGGGGAGTTTTCGGTGACTCAAAATTATGTTAGTTCTTGGAGAGTTTTTGTGCAGCTCACAATCCAGTGTTGGTGCGACAGTGTGGGATAATTTAGGAGACGTGAACTGTTGGGAAAGTCGTGTACTAGGTAAATCGAATCAAACCGTCTGTCGTTTCGTGTTTTCAGAGTTAACTTTGTATATTTCCTCCCCTTTCTCCTCCTCGTCGTGCAAACTTGCTTCTCTGTTTTGAAATTTTGTTTTGAAAATTATCTTTCTGGGACGTGCAGGATAAGGAGATACCTACATCGATCGGCATATTTTGTTTGAAATTCTATTGATCAAGGGTTGGTTCTTAACCTATCAGCAAAGTGCGATTAGAAGCACTAATTAAATTAGAATATCAGCTGTGACGAGTTTCCAAGAAGGCAATGGGCTGACTAACCTCGTCAGTCGTTGCCAGGTATCTGCTCTAAATCAGGCTTTAATTAATTATCCTTGTTTCTCTTGCGATTTTGTGATACAACTTTAGGTTCTGTCAACATGGACTAAATATATGGAATTAGGTTGGAGAAGTGTGGAATTGAAGTGTTTCGCTTTCGGTGGATGACTACGTCAATGAAATGCGGGTGGATTGAGCACATGAATCATCACGACTCTTGAGTTTGAATTGCTGGAGAAAGACTTCTTTAGCTTCGTGGTCTTGGATCTTTCCGCAAGCCACTGATTATACTACTGATGCTCCGAGAATTTGATATCGTGACCCCATTATAGCCAGATTTATTGGCAAACAATGCTTGTATTCCCCTCTTGTAAAAAATCTGCAAATTCGATCTATGGGTGGGGCATATTTGCTCCAATCCCTTAAATACTGAGTATTGATGCCACTTCTGTCTGAACTGCGGGTGCACAGGAGCGCAAGGTGGGCATGCGCTTAGAAGGTTTAACAATTTTTGTAAAGCAAGGCGTAGAGTGGGATGAGGAACGATGTCGACTATCATGTGCGTAGTTCCCGTGGGGGCAAATTCAGCTCAATCCCTTCCTCATTTCGCACTATATCCAACTATTTGCGCAGTGTCTCTGCAAATGCGAGCAGCATTGCTGCATCCACCGTTCGTCAGGCTGCTGTCTCAGCAGCTTCCAGTGGATCCCTCAATCATGAAGATGATCGTCAGCGGGAAAAGGTATTATTGGTGTTGTGCCTTGTGGAGACAAAAGGCCAAAGGTGGAAATACCAATGGTTGTGCTTGTCTGTGGATTTCATCCCATCTTATTTCTTATAGTAGGGTTTTGCAGTTGACACGTTATATCTTCCAGGGCAACAATTCAGTTGCTGCCCCGTAGAGGGTTGAGGGTAAGTTGTCTTCTGGAGAGAATGCTTTGGTTTTGTCTCATCGAAAATTCGGTGCTGTTTTAAAGTTTTTTCCTCTTTTGAATGTCCAGATTCAGTGGTCAAGCTTTGACAAGCTAGAGCTTAGTTCAGGTGAGATTCGACAAGTGCTCTTGTTGGCGTATCCAAATGGGTTTCAAGTTTGGGATGTACAAGACGCGAGTAATGTGCATGAATTGGTCTCACGTCGTGACGGCCCGGTCGCATTCCTTCGTCTTCAACCAAAGCCGATATTTCAAGAGTCAATTGATGGAGGGGTAAACTTTAAGGGAGCGCGACCTCTGCTGTTAGTTGTTACTGTAGATACAACAGGTTCGGGGAATTCAGGTGTTGGAGGCTATGGTGGTGGGGGCGCCTCTTTGGCTTTAGGAACCTCTCACTTCGTGCCTACGGTCGTTCGATTCTATTCACTTCGCAATCATTCTTACGTGCACACCTTGAAATTTAGATCGGGAATTCATGCAGTGCGTTGCAGCCCTCGTGTTGTTGCAGTGGCTTTGTCCACCAAGGTAATTGATTTCCTATCCTTCGATTGTTCACGGGTTTACTTTGTCTTGTCACTTGTGCCATGTGTGCTATGACCTTCTTTGTTCTTTTTGAATAGTTCTACACTTTCAGCAAAAGTCTAGTTTGAATAACTCAAGTTGCGTGGCCGAGAGCTATTAGCAGTACGCTTTACAGTGAGTGATTCTTTTTCTTCTGATGTGATTAACACTTTGTGTAGAGATTGAATGCTGACTTGATGGGAGGCCGTTGCTTCATGTGGTTTTGCAGATATATTGCTTTGATGCAGAGTCACTTCAGAGCATTTTCAGTGTGGATACTTATCCATCTCCAGTACCAGCTCCAGGATCCAGTCATTTTGGATATGGTGCGATGGCAGTTGGACCCCGGTGGTTAGCGTATACAGCCTGCCAGCCTCTCTTGGCGACTACTGGGCGAGTGTCCCCACAGCACTTGAGCCCATCGACTTCGCCAGCTAACGGGAATTCAATAGCACGTTATGCTAAGGATTCTAGCAAAAATATTGTAGCAGGAGTGGTACATTTAGGCGACATGAGTTTCAAGACATTTACTAGATACTGCTCAGAACTAATGCCGGACGGTGGCAGCGCTTCTCCAGGAGTGGGTACTCCTAGTTGGAAGAACGGCTCTAAAGGCTATAATTCCTGGCAAGGTGGTCATGCTCTCGAACCAGAGTTCGCCGGCTCGGTATGTTCTTTTTTAACATTGACCTTTATGTGAGCTTTATTTACCTGAATGGTATCCATTATTTTGCTTTGAATGTGTTAGGATCAGCAGGAGCAGAACTTTTTGATTTCAATCACATGGAAGACCTACTATTGCCTGTTGCTACTTGCATTGCATATTGCCTCTCATACAAATATTGTTGGCGTAGCAAGTGCACGTATTAATGCTTTATTGCGGGGAAAGAAGCTTACAAAGTCGTATCCAAAAGGTTTGATGAACGTTTAACGTTTGATCTTATTAATTGCAGGTGATTATTCGCGATGTCGTGAGCAAAACTGTAATAGCCCAATTTAGGGCGCACTCAAGCCCTCTGTCAGCTCTTGCTTTTGATCCCAGTGGCACTCTCTTGGTCACTGCTTCTGTATATGGTCACAACCTCAATGTGTTCCGCATTACTCCTCCATCGTCGATTTCTGGCGGTTGCGGATCTGGTGGAGACGTTAACACATCTTTTGTACACCTTTACAAACTCTCTCGTGGAGTTACTAATGCGGTAAGTGGTGGACCAATTTGTATTTTATCTAACTGTTTATTCTGAGATCTAGTATTGATAGGAGGTCTGATGTTCATTTCGATTGCTGTACAGGTGATTCAGGACATTACTTTCAGTAGCGACAGTCATTGGATTGCTGTTAGCTCTTCAAGGGGAACCAACCACTTGTTTGCCATATCTCCTTTCGGTGGAGTAGTTGGGCCACAGACGCACGCAGCAGTACCTATTGATGGGCTAATTGGGCCTACTTTAACCCCAGCCCCAGTATTCCCTTGGTGGTCTAGTACAGGGCCCGTGAACCTGAATCATCAAGCACTTTATCCTCCTCCTTCTGCCATAAGCCTCAATGTAGTGAGTAGAATAAAGAATGGGAATGGCGGATGGAGGGGCACTGTAACTAGTGCTGCAGTGACAGCGACTGGCCGATCCAATGTTATTGCAGGTGCTGTGGCTGCTATTTTTCATGATGGTGGTGGAGTAGGTGTGGAGTCAGACGTAGGTGTTGGTACATTAAAGGACCAACTTTGGATTTTTGGCCCTACAGGGCATCTGCTTCGGTACCTGCTGCGTCCCTCTGTAGGAGGTGACGTTGGTTACATCAATGGGTTGCCGCAAATGGCTGGGATAGGCGCACCAGGAAGTCCTGGCCTACCACAAGAGTTGAAGGTAATTATTGAACCTGTAGAGAAGTGGGATGTGTCTCGTCGGCCTAACTGGGTGGAGCGGGAAGAGAGAGTTGATGCTCAGGATGAAGATCACCAAGAAGCTGAAGTACGTTCAGGAAGCACAAGGATTTCTTTAGGGACTGTAGTTAAGGAAGGCATGACAACTAAAGAGATGCAACGCTGGTTTATGTCCAATGCTGAGGTGCAAATGCATCAGGCTAGGCCTGTTCCCATTTGGGCAGAATCAAAGGTATTCGATATTCCGTTTATTTAACACTGGTTTTCTTCTGCATTCTCTTGTGACGTCCTGTTTCAACAAGTGCCAACTCTTCGAAATTTGAATACTTTGTTTTCTTGAGTTGGCCCTTAGAGTTTGTGTAAATTAAGTGTACATTTCCTACGACTTATTATATTTTCAGCTTTGTCATGAAAGCCACCTTGATCTTCACTATTCTAGTGCGTTTTTCTTCAAATGGTAGGTTCTCAAAGTATGCTATTCCATTTTTCAGATACAATTTCATGTGATGCTGTCTGGGACACCGAAAGAACTCGAGATTGACAACTGTCTCAGTGGAGACGGGGTTGAAGAGATTGAGATAGAAACAATTCCTACTCGGATTGTTGAAGTGCGAAGAAAAGACCTCATCCCTGTTATTGAAAGGCTCCAGAATTTTACAAAAGTACAGGGTGCCCGGTATGATTAGTCTATTTCGGCATTTTCAATTTTGGAAGTTGTGAGTTTAGATTCTTATCCACTCTGGTTATATCTTTGTATGACTAGATTTGTAAATGAACTTCCAATTCCTGTGCAGGGATATCATGGTAACAGATAATTTTCCTGGAGTTTCCAATGCCCATGATCAATTTATTGGGGATGAGGGTCTGCATGACGGGTTCACATCTGCAAATTTGAGGGGCATGTCCGTTCAGCGCACCAACAGCAACAGTAGCAGCAGTAGTTTTGGTTCAGAAGGTGCTCCATTTGCTGCTAGTGCTGGTGGTATGAACGGTTATCAAGGTTTGACCTCCCCAAATATCGTATTTTCTCAATTGAAGCATGAAGGCTCTATAGCAACATTACTTAATCAATTTTTATGGTCGGTTAGGGTGAAACTTTTAATGGATACGGACGTATGTAACGTAGCCCATTGGTTTGAAGTCCACTTTCTTTGCGTACGGAGGAAGGTCCTACACCTGTAATAACTATGAGCAGTTTTCATAATGACGGCTCAGAATTTATAATCATGGAACATGGTAGAAAGTGGTAAGGACGATGAAATTCAAGTTAATGGCAGGGTGGTACTTTTTGTTCTTAATCTGTATTGTATATTTCATTTTCTTTCAGAGGACTAGCTGATTTAGAAATTGTGATGCATTATACAGACAGAGTTCAACATAGTGTTCAAATCAACCCTCTTGTTTGTTAATGCCACGAAGAGTAGACACGGACTTGTAAGTTCACTTTTTCTTTTGTCATATATTTGTTTAGGGTATGTGGATGTTGATGGACACGTCCTTTTAAAGACGTTTGTGCTAATAGTTCTGGTATGGTTGGTGGATGCAGATTTGCCCGATTTGATTACTGCATACTCTCCATCATCATTCGGTTCACCTCCATATTTTCGTCAAACTCAACAAGGGTTAGAGCCACCTTTGTCCGGCAGATCCGAATTGTCTCATAGGCATTTGTTAAGGTTCAAAGCTGGCTGTGCTGACCCATATCAGACCAGTTTCTCTCCCCAAGAGTTAACTGCAGAACCAGGTGCAGCGGTTATGGTGTCTCCAATTAATATTCCAAGGGCAGAACAGAGGGATTTAGGAATGTTTACAGATTACACCAAGCCTGGCGTATCCGTTGGGTTTTCTGCTACTGGTAAAGGTGGGATTGTCAATCATGACAAGGTTGATGGTTCATTTGTGGGTGTAGGACCATCAGACGCTCTCGTTGTTCAACTTAGTCAGCTTAATTCTCAACTTGGTACCACACCAGTGAGTAATGATTCTGTGACTGCCACAAAACCTCAATCCGAGAATATGGCTTTGAATGAAAATGGTGGTATGCAGCTTATGCGTTCTGGGGTTTCGGCAGATCAGAAAGGCCTCTGGGACATGATACCTACTGGTCAGGTGGTAGCGAATGGGTCCTTTCCACGTGATAATCAATCAACTGATAGCCCAACCACTACGTCTTCTTTGAATCCAGAATTTGAAGCTGGTTTCCTAATAAATCAGTGTAGAAGTGGCGTTGTAAGTGGCAGTCCCTTAGATGAAAGTCCTGTAGTTGGAGACATAGTTGGGATGGCTGAAGATGGTGAAAGTGAGGATACAGAAGGTGTTCACAGTAAGAGTGAGGATAACGAGAATGCAGAGCGAGGAGATGATGCGTGGGAGGGTTCAATGTTTCCTTTTTGTGAAGGTGAGTTTCAGAAGTTTTCTCAATGCGGTTTTTTGTATTTTCAGGTTTTCCCAGGTCAGACTTTTATCTCGTCATCATCAAATAGTCTTATTTCCTGTTTGATATGTGCCTCTCTAATGTCATCATTTAAGTTTTGTGTCATAGTTGGATTAATTTTGTATTTTATATTTTTTAAAAACCAGATTGCTAGGTTGGGGGATGTTCTTCCATTCTGGTCTCGAGTGATAGACCAGGCTCGAATCGCCTATTGACCTAGCACAGTCCTTATCTTTGGCGGAGGTTTGCTTCTTTTATTATTCGCTTTCGGACTTGGCAGCTTTTTTTGAAGGTCAAGAATGCTGGTTTGGACATATACAAGTTATTCTCTGGTTTGCATTATCTGAAGATATGAGGTGCTCCTATTTCAAGGTTGACAATAGAATTATGTAAGGAGATGCCCTAGCCGACGGGTGGACTCCTGCATCTTACAACAATTCCTATTCGGATTCTTGAAGATAATGCTTAGAATCGGGAGTTTAATTTGCGCACTTATGACATTATTCGAGGGTTATTTGTAGTTTACTGGGTGTAAAATAAAGCCAGGCAACTCCCTTGGCTCAAAATGGGAAAAAAAATCGAAAATAATTCTGGAAAATCTGTGATTTCTCATGTAGGAGGAATCTGGGAAGGTACCGGAGGTAATTCAATGTTTTATAAGTAGGGTGAAGCGAACTCGCTTGATTATGAGATTTTTAAGCTTTGAAGATGAGCAGGAAAAGACTTGAAAAATGTAAAAATTATGTAAGGAGCACAGGGTAGTGTGAGGGTTGTGGCAACTGGTGCTTCTGCCTTCATTTCTACCTTTGTACATTTTGTGTAAAGAATTCACTTCATTTCTGCACCAGTACTGTGCATTGAGCTCCGTTGCATGGAGAAGCTCTTGAAGATTTCCCTGAGTGATTATGGCTAACTCCAAAGCAAAAAAAATCCACTTTAAAACTGAGATTTATAGCAGTTTTATAGCTAAAGGAAGGTCCAGCACCCAACAAAGTATGAAGATTCATTGTCAGTGTAATGAGGAGAAACTGGACATTGTGTTTGACCACTGAGGCAATATCTGGGACAACGGATGCCTCGCTACCATCCAGTTGAGTAAGATGTAGTTTGACAAGGGAAGAACTCAGCATGAGACGCAATGAAAGCTTCTGGTGAAAATAGAGATTAACGCTGACACTTTAACGTGGGTCACAACGAATGCTCTTGCACAGATACAGAATTCTAACCCATTTAATTCCTTTGTAGGCTAGAGAAAACAAAACTTTTAAATGCTATGTCTTTCAACTTCCACGATTTGCGAAGTACTTGAGCCTGTTTCTAAACTTGTAGCGGCTGACATAAATGCCCTCATTAAAACGTAGGCCAAGAAGTTTCCATAACAACCCCGAGTAAATAGACACAGCTACGGCCGCCTTACAGCAGAACCCTACTTCTAGAGGCCACCTCTCATGCAACCACTCTAACAATGGGGGATGACAGCCAACGGAACCTGATCACATCTTGTTGCCGCAGGTGCACCAGGGCTTGTACGGCCAGCAAAGATCAATTATTGTACAACTATTTGCTCCCTTCGCTTCAGCAGATTCACAGTCGTTCTCCTGTGAGCCACACCACATGCTACCTACGCGAGAAATGGCTCTTTGCCGGAGAGCGGTTCGGGGGAGACTTCATGACTTTGGTTCGAGCAGGAGAAGGGTTCTTCCTGTCACCATTGACCTTCGAATTTGAGTGCCGAGGTGGTGAAACCTGTGCACGAGGGTTGGGATTTGGTGACAACGGTCGGCGATCCTCAGTCTCGTTGACGGGTGTTCTACTGACAGATTCACCACTACCGTTCTGAATGCGACCACTGGTCCCGCCCACCACTTGCTCACGGCCCCGGCTCAACTCAGCTGGATCACCAGCGGGAATCATGGGAGGTGACTGCTGTCCGGAGGACGATTTTTGGTTTGGAGATGGGGGGTGAGAGCAATGAATCTGACATCCGCCTGATGCTGTAACATTGCTGTTGGATTTACCAATCGTCACACAGGTTTTTGAAAGATTGGAGTATCTTGACCTGCATGGTTAAAAACGTGTGAGAAGTATCAAAGTGCTATCACAGGTTGGATTACGATCAGGTACAGAAGTGACACTTGCTTTCATTTCTGATCCTTTCATTATCATAACACTCCACCATGTGGGAACTCAAACAAGTGGCTATGTCACTATGGTGGCACGTGAAGCAGTTTTACAGCCATTCTAGCTTCTTTTTTCTTTTAAAGCGTGTGCCCCTTGTGCAGCAAGCTTAAAGGTTCACTCCAGAAAACGCAACAAGTATTGCCTATTAATAAGTCGAGAAGCAAAAACAGTTATTCTGGCGAGCAAGACTTATGAAGGTAAATTTTTACCTGTCTACGAATGAAAGTTGAGGGCGGGGAAGTGGGTTATGCTTCGATCCCCACGACCCAGGATCCTCCCATGTATTTAACATTATTCCATCCATTGGGGTCTGACACCCTGTATATGAAGACAGATTAGTGGAGCTTGCAACGGCCGTGGTGCCCGTCACCCCCATATTCTTTGTGTATTGAACCTTTTGAGCAGCTTGCACGGCAATCTTTGAAACTGGTACATACATGGAGCGCTGGCTCCCCGATAAGGATGGATTCGTGTTGAATACTCCCAAACCACTTTGCAATCCATTTGGCTGAGACTTGAGCTGAAGAGGTGGGATGTTTGAAATCGGTGTAGCTGTAGATAAATAAGGTGAGGACTTAGGAAACTGATTCTTGAATGCATTAGATCCAGAACTTGCGCCCAAGGAGCTGTTGGAGGACAGAGGGGTCGTTGCTTCGCCAGGTCTGTTGGCCGATGTGAGGCAAGAATACGCCAGCGAACTAGTATTGGGTCGAGTGAATGCGTTGAAGCGGGAGGAAACTGATCCCGCCGGTAACTTCCCTAATTGAGCCTCCGTCAATTGTTGATTTAACCACCTGCGCGAACATTAGCATGTGAACCATGTACTCAGTGCCTAGTCCCCCAACTCGAATAAAACAATAAATTCGTTATCAACAATAGTTATGGTTGCTCGTCACAAGAGGTTCCAGAAACTTAATTATGACAACTAAGACTTTCAGCTGCGCCATTGTTCTGTGCTCAGATTCGTATAAAGGAAAGATTCTCTGGACACAACGCGGGACATTAAGAGATGCGAAGCTGAATCTTAAAACAAACGACATTAAACGATGAGCCAAGTACTGGATCATTTGTTGATTGGATTGCAGTAGATTCTGTGCTTCATCCAGTTTAGTAGTGAGCTCCTCCGACTGGTCACACACAACAGACTTGGGTATGAAAATCTTTGAAGAATCATGTTAACGAACATTATGATTAGCCTTAACCACCAGAGAATATTTTATTTCTTTGATTTTCATATAGGACTCGCGACTTTGAATTGCCAAGGAATTACCTTCTTCTTTTTATCTTCCATATCAGCTTTTAGGGCTGTCAACTCATTCCGTAGATTAGCATTGTCTGCTTGAGCCTTGTCAATAGCAGACTGCCGCTCATTGAGCAAATTGTCCTGCTGACTCGTGACCTGACCTTTGAGCTTCACTTTTTGCTTTGAAGCGCGTAATTCAACCTGCACGACAAAGGATAATTGGAGAAAAGAAAAGAAAAGTTCAGAAATAAAGGCGTGCTCCCATGAACGTCTTAGTACTCAAATTTCAAGTATACCTCGTGTAAAATTTGATGACGAAAACGCAATATAGTCAACTTAGTACCTGCAGTTTCTCGATGATTTGATGGCACTTGCTAAGTTCGGTGGCATTAGCACTTGCTCGCTCCTCGGCACGGTCAGCTGCCGCGAGCACCTCTTTCCGCGATACTTCTAATGCGGACCTGAATTCCCACCATGAACCCCAAAGCCAATGTCGAATTTATGATTCCCTCATATACCGAATGAGGTTGGAAGCACGCAACATATCATGAGGTAATTTGATGTCGTCCACAGGTTATAGAATTAATCTAAATTCAAAAATTTAAGCTGTACATGGGCTGCCAAACCAGGAGGCAAGACGAGCACCTCTGCGTGGTCTGTACTTCGAGCTGCATCGTCAATTTGGAAAGAGATTCATTTTTGTCTGAAACCTGAACCCATACATCAAAATAGCCAATATTACGGTCAATGCCGTTGCTCAGCACTAAAAGATCTGATGCACAACAATGTATAGTATGATAAGGTTTACCTCCTGTTCTAAAGCACTAAGCCGAATAAGATGACGGTTTGATTCTTTTTCCACTTCGTTCTTCTCTGTTTCCAGGTTACGCTTCTCTTTTCTTAAACGATCGCCTTCCTGATTTTAAGAGCCAGATCCACAATGAACAAAGACACACAGTAGTATACGATGCTATGAACTATAGGGTGCCAAACAGGAAAAGTTCAAAGACATGCTTATTAAAGCTGCTAGAACTCTGCAAAATATTCTTAAACTACAGCAAGGAAAACACCAGAACTGTAGAGGACATTGTTGACAGGTAAGACCTCGGCTTCGATACCGCATATGAATACAGTGATCATGTTGAGAGGAGATGCTTAATTGATAACCAAGGTGATCCTACCCTTGTATAATTGGACGTACCTGCGTCTTTTCCTCCAGGTCTCTTTCAAGAGACATGCACTTATTTTTCAGCTCTGTGATCTTGTTATCAGTTTTGTACTTCGTATCCAGTAATGACCGCACCTACACTTCCGAACGTAACCGAGAATTTAACTTTGAAGCATTCTATTGATTTTGGATTGAGTATTTATAAAGTAGTTTTTCGAGTAAGAGGACAGATTCGAATCAAAAGTCTTGGATGTAGATAATCGTGTAATGAACCTGGCTATCTAAATCAGAAGCCCTTTGTTGCTGTTGATCAATTTGCTGCCTAAGACGGGTCTCCAACTCTGTGCGTTCCTTTTCAAGCCTAACTTTGAGCTCCGTTGTCTCCTGCATGAACTACAAAACAGAACCAAACAAAACAACTTTCCAAGTCTCAAACAGACATTCGCTTTTCGTAGTTAAGCATTCAGCAACCGCTTCTCGGACTGCAACATTCAGATTACTAAATCCCGTCATTGTTTCCTTGTCAACGCTTCGTAGCTGCGGGGTTACCGACCATTTACGTTCTTTGAGACATGGAGAAGGTTTCAGGCTTCGTGAATCAGTCTAGATCTTAGATAAGAACATATGCCAAGCATGTTGGCAGATAATACAACTTTAACCCGATCACATTTCATGACTTCGTCACTCTATAAATACTTTTATTTTATTTATTTATTTATTTATTTATTTCTTTTGTTATTACAGCGAACCTTTTCCTTTTCATGAGCAAGCTCCAGGGTGAAATCAGATTTCAGCTCACTAATGTTTCGGCACTGGGACTCCTTCAGCTCACTGAGTTCGCTGCATTTGTGGATCAACAGCACGGAATGAAGGGTTTAGGAATGCTGTCCCCGAATAACTATAGGTGATATGTACTTCTCTGAAGGAAGCTTCGTTTCTCGGTTAGATCATCAATCCAGCAAATCCGAAGCCAGTTTCTCAACTACATGAAGAGATGCCTCTGTTTCGATCAGCTGTATACTTGTAATATATTCACTTCTAGGTATATAGCTCTTAAAGACTAGATGTGGCAGAGGTTGTTGAAGATAAAATTATTCCAAAATTAATGCTATTTTCAAAACTGATAATGTTGATCGTAGGAATGACAACCTTGACTGTATAATAATACCAGCTAAAGGACATGAGCGTAAGCGTTAACTAAGCATCTCGCGAAGATGTTACATGTTTACAACGAGCATAGCACATCTTTTGGAAAATCAGTGGAAGTTGTTTACCTGCTTAAACAATTCACATCACGAAGAGCTTTTTCTAAAGAGTGCAGCGTTCGCCGCAACTTTTCATGCATGTCACCGTTGATAGCCTGCCACATGCAATGATTTTTAGTATTGTTGAGCATCTTTGTCGCAAGACATCCCCAATGGATGACATCTTAAAATACCAAACGAACTCGTTTTTTAAATTCACTCACATTAGCACAGTCCACGCCGCATTTAGACTCATTCTCATCATTTACCTTGTACTCAGCCAGCCTGCCAGCAAGAAATTGTTTGATGACAGAGTCGTTTCCTTGCCGAAACACAAGTGATAGATGACTCAGATGCTTGAATTGATTTGTTTCCACTACAGTTAACGTAGAGTCCCCAGTTCGTAAGTGTAATACCGCAAGAAACCTGCCAGTACCCCTGCTTTTAAAATTACAGAACAACTTCATTATCTCATAACACACAAAGCACCGTCATGATACAAATATAAATAGGGATAACCAGCATGTCCTAGGCATAAACGAACGGAACTTTGTGACAACAACGAGAAGAGAACATTACAAACCTTGGATTATCAGTACAAGAGGAAACAATACACTGCTCGAGCAACTCAATGAACTTGTAAGGGAACGTTGCAAAATCCACCAATATGCATTGTTCCACTTTGAGGTTTTGAAAGTCGTCCTCATTGACTTCTAAGGAATAGAAAAAGAAAGGATCCAATTCGTTGGTAATCTGCACTTGAAGAACCTGGTGCAAGGAAACTACATTATGAGCATAAAAGATGTTCACATTGCTCCTCCAAGAATAAAAATGAAGAGCAAAACACATGCAAAAAGTAAAGAAATTTCAAGCAAAATAAAATTCTAGACTAACCATCATCTTACAATCCAAATGGACATGACAAAATACAAAGTGCTGTTCCTAATCAGAATCTACGGGTTAAGAGGTTATTATTCAACTGTGCATCCACTTTTTCAGTATGACACGCGAACACTAAACAATGCCCAGCAAGTCCGTACCTTGGTAGAGCGATGTACTTTACTCAGTCCCATTATAAACCTTGCAGTAAGATCCATCTGCCGATCTTCCGCATTGGACTTCGTCACACGAAAAGGGACAACTTTTTCAAACAGAGTGGAGGTGCTCTCCATTCCCCCAAGTTTGCCATAGTCTTCGACTTCAAAACCCATCCGGCTCTTTCCCTGATCAATCCAATTAGGCAGTCAATGGATAATCATCACATCTGCCAGAAAGCTGAAGCATGAAGATGAACCTAATCTTACATCAGACGTTACCGAATTGTAACGATTAATCTCATTGTCCACAATCAGATTGGTGATAGACACAACGGGCTAGCCATGAGAACCTCGGTGGATTTTGGAGAATTATCACGGCATAGGTTTAGTTCCTGTCCGAATGATCCATCATCGTTGGATTCTTTCTTCCTCACTTTTGAAAGCTGATGGAACATTCAAGCATGCCCAAAAGCCTGTTCTATATCCTGCTAAACCTAGGCCACAAAATTGGTCAGTAATAGAGAACAATTTCCGCTTGATAAGTGGATACAGATTTCCTCAGGTACGATCTTATTAATTTAGTTGTCCATTTCACAACGCATTTAACTGCTGGACTCTACACTTTTCCACAGCACTTCAATCACGGCCATACTCTCCTGCTTCGACACATAATCATTCACTTTTGAGACTTATCATTAACATAGACTTTCCATTTTCAATGGATTTGGTGGATCAGCTCATAAAGTCCTTGGCGAGCGCCATAGAATATTATATCTTGGATGGGTAGAAATGTTTAGAGAAATGGGATACCAATGACATTGTGCCAATATAGAATCCATATGAATCCCTACGAGAATCTTACTGTTAGGGGAAGGAGAGAAATTGAGCTCAACTTGTGAAAAATATTAGCTGATGAACAAAGAGCCACAGATAAGGTTGCCTGGGCCACGGAATGTCACAGGTGAAACCAAGTCTATTTCGAAAGAGGCACTAATTGCACATTCAATCAATGTTTTCTTCTTGGCCTATGTTGGTTTTCTTTGGAGTCCATTGGAGGTTTAGTACATGATATGTTCTATGCTTGATGCCCATAATTTAACAGAGAAATATTCTTAGAGTAAGATGAGCATGTCCATTCAATACCTGCTTTTCAGAGCATTTAACTACGTTACTCCTGTCGATCTAGCTCTTCCATGTCACTAGAAGCTGTGAAGATGAATTAATTTGCACCTGAACACAGAAAGATGAATTTATTATCGATCAAGAGATCAAAAGATTATCTAAAAAGGTGTGCTTTCCTGACAAATAGGATCATCACACACCACTTAAAATAGTTCGCACGAATATCTTTACTTAGGTGGCAGTATACAGCCTAATCATCAGAAAGAATTTCAAATAAGGTATGAAGTTGGACACTCAATTCAGTGATGGTACAACCTGTAAAATTTAAGGTCTATTCACAATTTTCTGTGAATTCATTCTACACTCTTGCCACTGAGACTATTTAACACCAGGTGTAAATAGAAATCGAAATATAATGAGCTCCAGCAACGCAAGTATGAACAGAGGGATACCAGATCGACCACAACTGCATAGGCATTTGTTTAGGGGATATGACAGGATTTCAATTTAGGCACCAGAGAAGTGGGAGAGTAATCTGATGTGGAGATAATATATTAGAGGTGTATCCAGAACAAATTCTATACGTGTTCTCTGATTGACGCGTGTTGATATATTTCTAAAACTTTTCGGAAACTCTGACCGCAATGAGACAGGACAGAGACATGATGAAATCAAACTTTTTAGTCCTAAGAAGCTCTCATCGTGGCATGTGCACAATCTACAAGTACGCAGCTGCGAAAAATTCATCAGGCAGAAACAATGGCAGAAACAGATGTCACGACTGCTAGTTAACGGGGGATGAGAACAAAAAATTGGACGCAAACAAATGTCGAGAATTCCAAGACCATTACATGTGCAAGTACCCGATCTCAGAAAACGATTAAATGTCGAACAGCATTACAATGTACCAGCAAGTGAGCTCGGAATCAGCGGTTTAACACAGTTATGCCTGGCTGACGCGACACGGCTTTGAAAAAATTGCAATGTATCAGTGGAAAGCAGTGATAGCAATTGCTCAAGGACAATTCGGGGACCTTTCCTTACACTGTAATGACTACGCCTCAAATCTCCGTCAGTTGCTAACACGAACGGGCTAAAATTTTTTAACTGAAATCAAGAGAACCGGGCACAGAAGAGGACCAGTACAATGCTATAGTGGATAAGAAATTGGCAGCTTGTTAATAATGGCTAAATTTAGGGAAGATGACGAGCATTTGCTAGGAAAAACTGGAAATGGCTCTACAATGTCAAGGACCTGGAAGAATCGCCATGCAGCGTCAGAATGCATTTGCAAGGCAGGTCGATCAATTGGCGAGAGTAGGAGGGAGGGGGGTTCCAGAGGAAGAGGATAGAGACGGCGGGAAACAAGGGAAGAAGCGGCAGTTAAGGCACGCTTAGCATGTTCCACTCAGAAATGTGCCTCTCTGCACAGAAGCAAACTTGAAACCACCTTCCTCCTCGGCTCACAGTCTTGTAACTGTTCTCTCTTGCGGACCGGCAAATGGAGAACTGACATATCGCTTGTTTTACACGCTGCAGACATCCATGATGCAGCTACGCCACCAGTGCACATTTCACAGAAAATCTTCTTGCCCAGCAAGCCTAACATCCTCATAGCAACTTCAATTCTTTGTGTTTCCGAATCGCGATAATTGCGTCACACAAGGAACGCACGTCTGGTAAAAGGCACCCCTCTACTCTGCAGAGCTTCCACCCTAATTCTGCTCGCTGACATCTCTACCGCAACTCGTCTTCTCGGTATAGGAGGCAGGTGGGCGTTACAGAGGAGAATACCACCATATGAACTGTGTTTCAAGTAGATAAAAGTTTTGATTCCGACACTCAGAAGTAGGACAGGAGATGACAGTTGGAATGAAGTTCCTCCAGAAAGTCACTAACTGTAGGATTGGGTGTTATATTTGAATGTAATTTCAATACTGTTTTCCGTTATGCATAGGTTCGTGAAGAACATGCAGAACATTGGTTAGGGCTCACAGTTCTTCGACGATTTATGGAGCAAGATTTACGATCGGCTCTTGTGCCAAACAGTGTGTCACACCTGAAAATCTCCTTGCATTACTGATGACTGGAACCATGTCACAAGGTTCGGTAACTGAAATCGGCGACGGTTTTATTGATTAGCAATGTAGAAACCTGAGAAAAGTCAGCCACCGATAACCGTATTAACGATATGATAAAGTGGAACGTGTCCATTGTCAAGCCAGCTGAGACCTCTGATTGATTAATAAAATTACATCCATTGCACAAGTCTGCAAAATACAACTACGTAATGGACTTTGCAGAACTCTGGAAGTGTCTGAACCAAGATTTTTGCACACGTAGATAGGATTTCAATCATTTCATACAAAATGTAGACCAGTGTGTTCCATAACTGTATAACTGCTGGCCTATGATTACGCTTGAGATGGATCACCATCACTTAGAAGATTGCTAAAAATAGTCCATGCAACTTGAGCGTGAAGCAAAAACTTCGGGTTGTTCGAAATTTCATATTCGACGGCTCAGACGGAAACCCCAGCCGATGGACTTGTGGGTTGCACACGACGCTTCAGCCAACAGTCCAGAATGCAAGCCGACAAGTTCGCTCACTAAATTTGGCTGCATCTTCAAGTCACCCGTTGGATTGTTCGAGATGCTACGGGATATGATAAAATCTCGCAGCACATTGTAACCTTGGCACCAATAACTCACTCTGAACTAGACTTTACATGATAACATGTGCCACATCACAGATTTCATGAACATTCAAAGTACTTAGGATAAGCTTATCCTACTTGCACAGAAAGATAAGGCACTCGTCTACTCAGTCACTAACGTCATTAGTCGTGAAGAATGCCACATCCAACGTAACCAAACACTCAGAGAAACCAGAACAATGCATCGAAGGGGCATGATTGTGACAACTCTCTGTGATGTTAAACGAAAGACCCGAAAAATTAGATTATTCAAGCCCAAGAAAGGACTCAAACGCCTATATTCGCATTAACTTGTCAAACTCAGGCGGCGTGTTACTTGAAACATGCAGCAAACACAAATTTCGAATGCCCGTTGGTCCCGTCATGGAAGGAAAAAAGAAAAAAAAAGGACTCATCCAAGATCTTGGCAAACACAGTTTTATTTTTTATTTTTTTAAAAATTTTTCAATCTAATTATACATGAAACCTCAGGACAGGAATGTTGCAAACCTTCTACAACACCATGATCCACTGTTCAAAAACCTATTACAGTGTGCGTCGATCCAAGCTTAAGCAGTCAAGATAACAGCTCCTCCAGCCTCTTTAAGTTTTTTCTCGGCTAGCTTGGAGAAGAATTTGGCCTTCACCACCATGGGTTGCGTAGGAAGGTCCCCTTTACCGAGCACCTAAAACACAGACAAGATATTAATCAAATTGTATTATAAGACTTTCAGATCCTGCGGTTCAAATACACTTCCAATCTCATTCTACAAAGACATTTTTCACATCGATAAAGTTCAAACTATGTTAGTGTCTCCCACAAGGACTAATCGCAAAAATGGCCCAACAGAGAATAAAAACCTATAATGTGTAAGCATCATGGAGAATAAATAAATTGCTCACAGACAAAGACTTAGCATCACAGGAGTACCTTGAAGAAACCGTGTTGTGTGACATCCAAGAGCGGGGCGGACTTGTCACCATCGGTCTTCTCCTTTACAGCCTCCGGCACAAGTGACCACAGCTTGTCCACGTTCACAATCGGGCAGTGGAACTTGTTCACGGTCTTGTGAAAATACCGCATCCCGACCTTTTCAAAGTAGCCTGATGGTACTTGTCGAAAAGAATCCGGTGGTGATGCATGCCTCCGGCGTTACCGCGACCTGCAGGATGCTTGCGATGCTTGCCGACGCGCCCGTGGCCAGCACTGACGTGGCCTCTCTTCTTCCGGTTCTTCTTCGGGCGAGTCGTCATGGCTACTGGAGAGTGAGGGTTGGCTCCCCACAGCACAAGCTGCAACGGGAAAGAACCAAATCACTTTCGAGCTCGAGCACTTGGAAAAACCCTAAACCCTTTACAATCAACCTGCTACGTCGTAGGCTTGAGCCAAGGGGGCAATTGGTCAACTGAAACATATAAATATATGTTTATATATATATATATACATATATATATTTATATATATATATACACACATACTTTTGACACAAAAACAAGGGTACCCAATGTATTAATGGAGTAGAAAAATTACAATCCGCTAAATTCTTTGTAGAATAAGTAGTTATTTTCAGAATGTAGATACCTAGTGTATAGTGTAAATAGGGATAGATGACTGCTAAAAAGGTGGTTCAACAGGTAGAATGGATGAATAGTCAAGAAAAGTAGTTATCATCCATAGTATAGGAGTTGGTGTCTCGGGATAGTATAAGGAGGATGGGAGGGAGGAAGAAAATGCCAGATTGTGATAGTCATGAGTTGGAGTTAAGCTTGGTGCTTCCTCTTTGTTTCTTTTGTTTTATTTGTTGTTGAAGAATAATGGATAGTTTCTGAATACTGAGAAGTGAGTCTGTGGAATAAATCAGAGATTGATTTATGAGTTATTGATTATGTAATTGGAGTATTGAGTGATTGAATTATATGAGAAGTTATTGGAAGATTGATTATGGATGGAAGATTATGATTGTTGTTTATTGAGAGTTATGTGTGTGTATTTCGATAGAGGAAGTCTGTGATTACAAGAATTCTGTGAATTCAGATTGGTTGGAGTAAAGATTGTTATTTCTAGTGTTGGATGGAATTTATTGAGTTTTGAGCGGTCTTTTGAGAGTGCAGGGTTGCACATTCTGGTTATCAGTTGATGAAGGAGTATTATTACTGGGAGGAAGCATTGTAGTATTTCTTAGTGTTTTAGTGGTTTGGAATACAATTAATTGTGTGACCCTAAAAAGTGAAATTCATGCGCTTAGTCTTTCTCTGTGTTCGAATTTCCCTATACGGATTTATTCTGGGAGGTTTCTTTCGGAATAAGTAAAACGACAATCACATTTTGGCGCCACTGCCGGGGAATGATAATAGCTTTGAGTGTTAGGAATTAATTACCGAACATGTGATAAAATTGGAGATAGAAGAGAATTTCAGTAGTACTTGAAGCAAGATTATAGTTAATAAGAATGAGAACATTACATCGAGGAAAATAAATCAGTTGAGAGAAAGACAAGAAAGAGCACAAGGAAGGAACTTGCTTAGAGAGAAGCAAGAACATAATCTTAATAGGAAACATTGACAGAGTTGGATTAAACCGTGGTTGCAAGCTTGTTGACGCATTCGAACATATCAAGAACTGGATAGACTGTTAATTCTGCAGTCGTATGTACGATTAGAAAAACTACCAAGAACACTCGCAAGAAATTTTGTTATCATTCTAGCAGGAATCTTGAGGCCGTTAACTGAAAGTGAAGGAGGTATAGAAGAATTGGATACTCCATTGGGTATTTTTTCAATAGTGGGTATCGCCAAAATGAGCAATAGTGGCTCTTTAGATTGGCACAAATTGGTCGCCAATAAAGATAAATATATTGTATTTCAAAATCTGACGTTTTCGCTTGCAATTCAACCTATAAAACTATTTGCGGAAAATAACAGTAAATCAAGGAGCATTGAGAGCCCGAAAATTCGAATAAAGAGAAGCAATGATTGTTTTAAAATGGAGTTCAGTAGATCAAAAAATTCAATGGCATTAGGAGGACTTGCCATTTCGATTGCAGTTCAAATAGGTGTAGTGGGCGATTGAACGACTAGCGTTGCACCATTATCTATTTTTTGAGGTTTGCCAGGTGCGGATCTAGATCAACCTTTGTTTCAATTCTTGACGGCGTGTATAGCCAATAATGGAAGAACAAAAGACATTTGGCTAACATGGCTACCAATGACATTGAAAGACACAACGTTTGAGTGGTATAACTGCCAACATGTGGGATAATTTATCAATTGGGAGGCATTAAAAAATACATTTTTAGCCCATTTTTGACCAATTGGTTTTGAAGAACGTCTTAGAGAAAAATTAATGAACAGCAGAATGGTACCAGGAGAAGTGATACAGTCATATTATGGTTGTGTAGCAGATATACTTCGAAAATGGCCAAATAATCAAATGTCGGAATCGTTTGTGTTGTCCATATTGGTTAATGGACTACACCCATCAAAATTGTAGATGTTTGTAAAGGAGGCCCAATCAGCCACCATTGCATCATCTCTTAAGCAAGCAAAAGTATAGGAGGAATGTCACTATGACCAAAACTTAACAGTTGGAGCCACAATGATTCCATCTCAAGGAGGTTATCAAATGACAAATTGGAATGACGCATCGGAAAGTTATCTGGGAAGGAATGGTTATGGTATAATTCCATAGGGAATAGTGGATGCCATCCCATTGCAAGCTGTACCACTATCATCATCACATCCGTATGCGCCTTATTTCGCATATCAAAAACTAATACCTATGAAAGAATTGCCAAATGCATTGGTATCAAGGGATCCCAATGAGTCATTGCTATTAATATTGACAAAAAAAAAATGGATGAATTGGTTGTGAATCTGACCAAAGATAAAGAAAAAAGGCATGAACCGACCAACATGCGACCCAATGTTTGGTGCAGCAATTATAAAGGACAAGGTCATTTGGTAACTGAATGTTCTTCACCACCCTAAATGATGGTCCAATGTACATTTTGTAGGGGTAAGCATACCATTGCCAATTACTGGAATTTAAGGAAACAACAAGTCAAAAAATAGACCATGATTCAACCAACTTCGTGGAATGTCAATCAAGTAGAAACAAATAATAGGTTTGGCTGGAATAGAAATCGAGCAAATAAATAAAACAAGAATTATTCCAATTTCCTAAACTCTAAATTTTACTAAGAAGGTGTATCCAATATTCACGGATTGGCGATGAACCAAGAAGAATACCATCAATATCCACCCATGATGAAGCCAATGATAGAGTCTACAATACCAATGGATCAACCAAGATCTTTTACTCATCCGACAAGGAACAGACATAGCCGTTATATACTAGTAGAGACACCTAATATCCCTGAAGGAGTTGACAGGAAACCACTTCGTTGCTATCGTTGCAAACAAATTGGATATTATACAAGTGAATGTCCTAATCCAAGGGCCAGTGATGACTATGCTTTAATATATGGAAATTATAAGCAATCTAGTCACACTTATTAGTAATGCAATGCGCTCTTTAATTATAATAACTCGGACCAACAAATGCAAACAAGCCAACCAGTGGAGGACAAAGGTCCTGTTCTATGAGACTCACCAGTACATTGTGTCGAGGTAGTGAACGCAGTGCTTATCAAAGGCCAAGAAAAAGACAAGAATCCAATTGAGGACCTGGATGAATTAATAGCAGGAGAGCAAGTAGTACCATCTACGGGGCTAAATGAATCAATATCAGTATTGGGACGTATCTCAATATTGAGACCTCAACAAACTGAAGAACCCAATTTGGTTCCACGTGCTAATTTATCGGGACCATCAAGATCGATTCCAACTGACCAAGTACCAATAC